CTTCTACTTCTATGATGTCATTACATATATTTAAAACTCTATATAAGATAAATAAAATTTTATTTTTTTGCAACTTGTATACATATAGTTGTATTTAAAATTAACGATGAGTTAATTCGTCTAACAGTTAGAAGAAAAATTATATGTGAATATATCTGTAGTAAATATTTACAAACTAAAGACAAATTATATGTGAATATACTTAAATATCTTTAAGTATATTTAATTTTTTTTAAAAGTTTATATATTTATAAAATACAAAATCACATAATTTTTAGTTTGTGTTAATACCACTAACTAGCCATATAAATTTACAAAACACAAATTTTGGCCATGTTTTGTAAAAAACATCTTTTTTAGCCATTCTAGCATGTATTTTTACTACATTACCCTTAACTCAATTTTTTCACATTACTCTTTTCTTTCCCCCCAAATCAATTAATTTCATTTTCAGAAATTTCAATTTAATTCAAATACACTAGGGTTCATCTCCCTCATCTCTCTCTCACGCCCATCACTTCCACCGTCGAGCTTCCATCCGCCGAGCTTCCGACCACCTGCGCCACCGTCCGGCGACCATCGCCCGACCACACTTAGCGCCTGGCGATCTGATTTCCGACGTCGAGCTGCAGCACACCTCCATCCGGCCTCCTCTGTTCACAGGCGCAACCATTCGCGACCTTCCTCCGTCCCGACCATCAACCGGCGACCTCACCCTCGAGTGTGTATTTTATGTTATTTTTTGGATATTGTGTAATCGATCCTTAATTTTATGAGTTCTGTTATCTGGAAATTTGCGTCTTGTGCAGGGTAGATATATTCTCGGCGAAAATGGCGACTCCATAGCTGTAGCTTGGATCAGTCGAAGAGATTTGTAGGAGATGATTTTGGGTGGAGCTCTAAGCCTCAGGTGCCGTTCACGTCCTCACCCAATTTTGAGGTGTGTGTGTATTTTTTTTCTTCTTTTTTCTGTTCTTCAAGACAAACCCTAGTAGAATTTGGTTTAAAGTTATGATTATGGTTGGAAAATGGATTTATACTGAGCAATAGGCTGCTTTTGTAGTGAAGAAAAGAATATAGCTTTGAGATTTAACAATTGTTAAGTGAAAGCTTGAATCTTGACTGACTATTGGAGATGGGTTTGGATCGGATTCTTTGTTCCGAAAGGAAAAATTGATTATAAGAAGCTATAATGAATAATTGTTTGCCCTCTAAAAGCATATGCACATGTGGTTTGTATCATTTTGGGTTTGTTCGCTTCTGTGTTCATTTTATATAAGGGAAGTGAATGGCAATCGCCTTTAATCGAGTCGTTGGACGTAGAATATTTCACTCTATTAGCGGGGGAAGCAGCACCAGTCACGAGAGAAGCAGAGGTAGCACTAGCAGCGGATCCAGTCCTTGATCGAGATTCAAACCCAGTCGCAGTAGTTAGTAGGTGATCCAAGACCGGAGACAAGAGAAGCGGAGGCAGTAGTTGCACGAGCAGTTCAAGATGCAGCAGGTTAATTAAGAATAAAAAGAAGAACTCGACTTTCGGATCAATCCACTTTCATCGAAAAAGACGGGGTAGAAGCCACTGGGTTTGTAGCTTTAGACGGGTTTAGTCGACGGGTTGGTTTCCGAGGACAGCTTTGTAGCTTGGAGGTTAGCGTTTAGTCGAGACAGCTTTTCCGCTGCAAGTTTACGTACAACTTTATTAAGGAGTGTTTATGAACCTCTAAAGAAAAACCAGTTTCATCGAGAAAAGTTAATGAAATGCGCTTATTATTATTATTATTATTATTATTATTATTATTATTCTACTCTTTTATTCATCTTTCATTTGTATTGGAATATTTAAATCTTCTCCATTCCTCAATTCATATCATGAACAATCATGGCCATTCTGAAGGTGAATAGCCACATCCGTTCACCGATGAATTATCGCATCCAATCATGAGTTCAGAATAGTAAATCTACAGCTCCCACAACACTTTGATTTCAAAATGAATAAATTCTTTAATTTAGACTTCATTTAATAGATCTATTTGGGTTTGGTTGTTATTGTTTGATGACAAAAACACGTGATACCAATTTTATTTTTTTTTTCTTTCGTACTGCAGGTTTATGACAATATATCTCCGATCTGCCAATACCAATGAGTTATGGTTCGTTCTCCATGAATGAATCCTGATTGTTNGTCGAGACAGCTTTTCCGCTGCAAGTTTACGTACAACTTTATTAAGGAGTGTTTATGAACCTCTAAAGAAAAACCAGTTTCATCGAGAAAAGTTAATGAAATGCGCTTATTATTATTATTATTATTATTATTATTATTATTATTCTACTCTTTTATTCATCTTTCATTTGTATTGGAATATTTAAATCTTCTCCATTCCTCAATTCATATCATGAACAATCATGGCCATTCTGAAGGTGAACAGCCACATCCGTTCACCGATGAATTATCGCATCCAGTCATGAGTTCAGAATAGTAAATCTACAGCTCCCACAACACTTTGATTTCAAAATGAATAAATTCTTTAATTTAGACTTCATTTAATAGATCTATTTGGGTTTGGTTGTTATTGTTTGATGACAAAAACACGTGATACCAATTTTATTTTATTTTTTTTCTTTCGTACTGCAGGTTTATGACAATATATCTCCGATCTGCCAATACCAATGAGTTATGGTTCGTTCTCCATGAATGAATCCTGATTGTTGTGATATATTCCTTTAGATCCTCGTTCATTTTTCTTAATATATTTCTCCATATTTGACTGGAGTTTGTTTCCATAATGTGGCTGATGCAAAATATATGGCTGCACTCGGATAGTTTCATTTTTGTTGTTAATTATGTTAAGCATATTAGTAAGGGTTCTTCTGCCAATTTATGCGCACGTTGTGCTACAAAATTTCCTGAATGTTTATGCAACGGCTGGATGATACAGTTCTTTTGTTGTTCTCCTGCGATATCTATAAATGGCCCCTGCATTTAAATGTACAGCTGATTTATTTATTTATTTATTTCTTTTTTTTTTCTTGTGAACAGTAGTTATATTAGAATTACTTCTAGGACTTTGTTAGTAACTTCTTCTTTTTTCTTTAATTTTTTTTTTCTATTTCCCCCCCTTTTTTTTGGATCTTGTTATTTAGGATCAACCATTACTGCATTTCAGTTATGTGCCGGAGGCTCCATCATATTTTTGTTTTTGCAATATCAAAATGATGTGTTGGGTTGTCACAATCATGCATATGAGCATCGGTCACATATAGTTTTCGCAAGCATCTTATACCACAGAGCATAAATCCTTTAAATATAGAAGCCCCTCTTTCAGTTCAGTTTAACTCAGAGCATGAATAATTCAGTTTCAGATATGATTTTACCAAATGCAGCTGTGGATGGTATACTTACCCTTCTCTTGACATTATACAATTACCTATTCTCACAGCATCCATTGCAAGTGGAGCAATTGTGGGCCATCTGCTGGCAACATCCATTGCCATACTCGGTGGAGCATTTCTTGCCAAATACATTTCCGAAAAACTGGTAAGAAATTGGGAAGAAAACCAAAAAAAATAAAAAAGTGTATATTCATTGATTGGCCAGAATATAACTGTGATGTTTAATAAAAACGTGTGTATGGGAGTAGAGAATAGAGCTCAACTTCATCATATGTAGCATCAAGAATTGGATGAATATTTTCTCCTAGCATTGTCTCAAAATAGTGCAAAATATGATCTCTTGAATAGTATTCCTAACATTGTCTCAAATTAGTGCTAAATGAACTCTTGAATTTCTGTTTGAAGCTGTAAAATTTTGAGTGCTATAAATGAACTCTTTAACTTTTATTTGAAGCAGTAAAATTTTGAGTGTTTCTAGAAATTGAGGATAGGGTGGGCTATGGTAATGATAGTTTTCAATGGCTTATGGTGTTATGCTTCATTTTTTACCAATCTCTTACCCATTTAGCCCTTGTGTGGTATGTCAGGTCATCATGGTATGTAATGTTGTCGAACATTGGGTGGTATGCCGGGTGCGATTATTGGAGTGGGAGATCGAGGTTTATGACTCCTTCATCCACGAGTCAAAATCGTAGGACTGTAATGACCGAGAGCGTCAGTTGACCCCTATTCGATGACTCATTCCCTCACTACTTCCTCGGTCAGGTTATTCTATTGCAATTTTTGCTCATAGTGATGTTGTGAGTAAGGCTTTGTCGAAGAAGAAGAAGAAGAGGAAGAAGTAGTAGTGGCATTTTCCGGTGCTTTTAAACAATATTTTGTACTGCTATTGACATTGTAGAGTATTTCCAGTGGAACTGCTTTCTTTTGTCTTTGTTAGATGTTTGTGGTACTACATTTGTAGGATTTGTTGAGTTTAGTTATGTTTTCTTAGTTTTCTTATACATGGTTTTGTATATAAGGATGTTCTCTATCATTCTCGTGGTCGTTCCCTATCATTATGGATGGTTTAGTTATAAGGATTTGTGGTACTACTTTCTTTTGTCGGTTTCGTCATCATTTTCGCTATCATTCTCGTAACACCATATGGATAAAATGGTTGACCTTTAGCAGCAACTAAGTTAAAAAATCCACCTTGTCCCCCCGCAAAAGCATGAAAATTGGTTGGTGGTTGAGTAGAAAATCCCCTTATATAAAAAGTCTTCATATGACAAACTCCCCAAACGCATAAAATTCATCTCCGCCTGTCCATTTTTATAGACATTGTCATCCCAAAATCCGCTATGCACAATTCGAACTTTTTCACATGACATCTATAAAAAAAGATACAAAAGTATTTTAGTGACAAACAATGTAAAAAAATACATGTCTTATATATGATTCGATGTATTATATAATAAAACAAATAAAATTTGAACCAAAATCGAATTCTGGGATCATGAAATCGTTTCTAGACCCCAGAAACGATTTCTGGGGTCCAGAAATCATTGGAAACCAGAAATTATTGCTGGACCACAGAAATAGTTTCTGGACCCCAGAAAACGATTTCTGGATCACAGAAATCGTTTCTTGTCCCAATTCCGAGTGAATCCCAGAAACGATTTCTGGGGTCCAGATACGATTTCTGATCATTTTTTGGAGCACAGAAAACCAAAAAATGATTTCTGGTTTCAGAAATCGTTTCTGGACCCCAGAAATCATTTTCCGTACACCAGACATCATTTCTGGATCCCGGAAATCATTTCTGTACCCCAAACATCATTTCTGATCCCAGAAATCGTTTCTGGACTCCAGAAACGACTGAGGTCCAGAAACAATTTCTGAAATCAGAAATCGATTTCTGGAATCAGAAATCGATTTCTGGAATCAGAAATCGTTTCTGAAACCCAGAAATCGTTTCTGGACTCCAGAAACAATTTCTGAGGTCCAGAAACAATTTCTGATTCCAGAAATCGTTTCTGGAACCCATAAATCGTTTCTTGACTCCAGAATTGATTTCTGGTCCAAGAAATCGTTTCTGGAGCCCAGAAACGATCATTTCTGGAGCCCAGAAACGATTTCTGGACCCCAGAAATTGACGATTTCTAATTTTTTTTTAAGAAAAATAGATAGTAAGGGTATTTTGGTATTTTTAGGTGCCAAAATGGCTAAAAAAGATGTTTTTCCAACAACATGGCTAAAATTTATGTTTTACATTTCTACTTGGCTAAAAAAAAAATCACTGAAATATTTTTCCCATCACTTTGGCCTCTTCTCAAGTTTTATTAAGGTTAATTGCCAAAAAAACCCTAATCTTTTGCTTAATAGCAAATAAAACTTAACCTTTTAAATTTTGCAACAAAATCCAAACATTTATTAAGTATTGCATAATTGTCTCAAAACTGAATTCCGGCAAAGGGGCGCTGACATGTCCGATCGGAAAATTAACGTGACACCTAAAATGTAATAGTCAGTGCCACGTCATCAGACACGTCAACCTCCAAGTCGCACCCCCAACCACGTCACCTTGCCAGTTTTCTTCCCCGTTTTCTCAAAAAAAAAGAAAAAAAAAAAGAAAAGAGCAACAGGTGAGGCGCTTTCTTCTCCACCGATTCACCTCCAAATTTTGCTGCGAATTCATGGCTTGATTCACCACAAAAAAACGAGTTCACCATATGCTTGGGGAATCAAGAAGTGGTGCTTCAAATCAACCACGAATCCACGAACCCTAACAGGTGACCCGCATGAGTCCACCGGGAGTGACCAGCCTCTATGCGTAGGCTTTGTTGTAGCACAAATTGTTATTTTTACCGAGTACCGAATCGAAAGATTCGTTCCCCGGGTCAATATCACGAGGAAGACGGTTCGAAATTCATCTTTGGTATCGATCACACATAAAAAGAAAATAAATCCTACACACTCTAATCAGATAAGGGATTGAATAATTACCAGCTAAAAAATAATATAAAAACAATAATCTACCTAAAAATATAAACAAAACAAAGACGGAAAAGCTAGTGAATCGGGGATAATTTATTCAAGTTCTTAGCAAAATCGGGCAATTAATCGTTCAGTTTGAGATTGACACTCTCGCTTAGACATCTAGCGGTTCGCTCCCAATAACTCTTCGTAATAAGAGATTGAACATAGACGAGCTAGCTCGAGCATACAGCACATGTCAATTATCCCAGTCCCAATAACTTTTCGTAACAAGAGACGGGTCATTGACAAGTACGTATTTCAATCCAAAACCTACAGACTATTCAGTTACGAAATCATCTATCTCATGCGAGCCTAGATCTACGACTTCTCCCCTTTCGGTTAAAGTCGCTAATTCAATTAGAAGATGTTTAATCAACTAATCATATAAAATCAACAAATTCTAACTCGACAAATCAATATTCAATCGTTACCAATTGCAAGATCGAAGTGTCACCCTTCGATTATATCAAACTATCAAGCACAAATTCATCAATTCCGAACTAAATCAACTCACATAAGCATGAACAAATCAAAGCCCCAAAAATATAATTTAAACAAGAATAATCATCCCATATCCCTAGCAACAGGAATTAGCTACGCAAATTGAATGCAACACAATAATTCATTTCTCCTAATTCAATCATTATTCATGAATTAAACAAGAGAGAAAAGAAACTAACCAATAATCTCAAATCCAAATGTTGAATACGAATTACAAGCTTATTCCCTAAACACTCAGAAGAAGAAGAAGAAAAAGAAATGGAAAATAAAGGTGAAGGGAAGAAGAAAAAAATGAAGAAGAAGGAGAAAAAGAAGTAGGGAGGAGAAAGAAGATGGAGCTGGGCGATTTTGGGGGTAGGGTTCGTCCCCAGCCGAGAGAGAAGCTGAAAATAGAGGTCTGGGCGTTCTTATAGCAGCAGGGCAAGCTGGCACGGCGCGGCACTGGGAGGCCTGGGAAGTCTCAATAGGGGTCGCGGAGGCGCCACGGCACGGAGAAAGGCCGTGCCGCGCCGCGGAGAGTGCCTCACGCCGTGGTGGCTGATTCCTGCACTGACTATTTTGCTTTAGGGGCTCGTTTGGGCTCGTCCGAACTCGGAATTGGCTTCCGTTTTTTCCTACGCATCGCTAACAAATCCCTCTATCCAGTGATACTTTCATGACCAGATTTTTCCACTAGTACAATCCTCTAGAGTTTCCAACCTTCAAAGGATCGGCATCTTGCTGGACTTTACGTTTCGGCCCCGTTCGGATTCGTCTGAACTCGAAATCGAGTTCTGCTTCTTCCTAAATGTAGCTAACGAACCCTTCTACTCATCCATGCTTGCCAGGTTAGATTTCGGACTAAATTCATTCCTCACGCGGCTTTCGACCTGCACACATCAAACAAGAAGAAAACGTAGAAAACCGACAAAAAACACGAAAAACACATAAAAACCAAAATATAGTGTTGTGTACAAATTGTTATATTTTTCCGAGTACCGAATCAAAGATTCATTTCCCGGGTCGATCTCTCGAGGAAGGCGGTTCGGAATTTAGCTTTGGTAATGATAACACATAAAAAGAAAACAAAATCCTAAGAGGATGCTTGGATACAAAATTTATCCAAAAAATCCAAACATTTTTAACTCAACCACTTTTTTTAACTCAACTTTAACTCAACACAACTATCATTAATATTATTAATATAATTAAATAATATCAACCAATCATTCTTACATATAACATCAACCTTAATTCACTATTCATCCACTCACATAATTTTAACTAACCATCACTTCAAATCTCTCTCTCATACTTTTACATCAAATCAACTTTAATTATTTTATTTTAAATATTATTTTAATATACCCACTAACAACTAACTACATCACTTTTTTCAAAATTAACCAAACTAAACCAAAAAATCCAAACAAATCCAAAAAATTTTATATCCAAGCATCCTCTAAACACTCTAATCAGAAAAGGGGTTCGAATAATTACTGTCTAAAAAACAATAAAGAGCAATAATCTACCTAAAAATGTGGATGGAACAAAGATGGAGAAACTAGGGAATCGGGGATAATTAATTCAAGTTCTAGCAAAGCCGGGCAATTAATCGTTCGGTTCGAGATTGACACTCTCGCTTAAACATCTAGAGGTTCGCTCCCAATAACTCTTCGTAACAAGGGATTGAACATAGACCAACAAACTCGAGCATACAACACAAGCCAATTATCTCAATCCCAATAACTTTTCGTAACAAGGGACGGGACATCGACAAGCACGTATTTCAATCTCAACCCATAGATTACTCAGTTACGAAATAATCTATCTCATGCAAGCCTAGGTCTACGACTTCTCCCCTTTCGGTTCTGAAAGTCGCTAATTAACTAGAAGATGATTAATCAACTAATCATATAGAACTGACAAACCCTAACTCAACAAATTAACATTCAATTGTTTCCAATCGCAAGATCAAAGTGTCACTCTTCGATTATATCAATCAATCAAGCAAGATTACATCAATTCCTAATCAGATTAACTCACATAAGCATGAACAATTCAAGCCCGACAAATACACGTGAAACATGAACAATCATCCCCTATCCCTAACAATAAGATTTAGCTAAGTAACATGAATTCAACACAAGAAAGCATTTCACCCTAAATAATCATTCTCATGAATTAAACGTGATGAAAAATACTTACAATCAATCCAATCCGAAAGTTGAATCCAAAATACAAGCTTAATCCCTAAAATGGAAAAGAAAGAAAAATGGAGAAGAAAGATGGAGAAGAGGAGAAGAGAAGAAGAAGAAGAAGGAAAATGAAGGGGGGAGGCGAT